GCACACGACCTGACCTTGCATACCCTCTTAGCATTCTTGCACGCTATGTTGCTCCTGGGAGACACCGACCAGAGCACATGGCTGCAGCGAAGAGGGTGTTGCGCTACTTGTGCAGTACGTCGGGCATGGGGCTAGTGCTTGGAGGGCGGAGTCCAGTGGTCCTCACTGGGCACGCGGACGCTTCTTGGGCTGACGACCAGGCTACGCAGCGGTCGTCGCAGGGTTACACCTTCAGTCTTGGTTCCGGCTCTGTCTCGTGGCGGGCTACACGCTCGTCCTCTGTTCTCGGCTCCAGTTGTGAGGCTGAGATCTACGCCGGGGCCATGGCTGCACAGGAGCTTCGCTGGCTCACCTACCTGCTGACTGACCTTGGAGAGCCGCCTCGTTCTCCTCCAGTGCTGTACGTAGACAACAAGGCCATGCTGGCCTTGTGTCGAGAGCTGCGCTTGGAGCACAGAACGAAGCACATTGCTCTCCGTTACTTTCTTGCTCGTGAGCTGCAGCAGCGTGGTCAGTTGCGACTTGCGTACGTGGCCTCTGAGGCCAACACGGCTGATGTGTTCACCAAGGCACTTGCGCCTTGTGACCATCAGCGCTTCTGCACTCAGCTGGGTCTTGTACCTGTCTTGCCTCACTTGCTCTCCTCTTGACCTTGCTTGTACTGTCACATATATATACCTGCTCTTGCTTGTCTAGCTCAATACATATATGTGTGCACTCCTGCATGTGAACTGGCCTTGTGGCCTTGTCGTTGTGCTCGGACTGTGTGGTGACTTTGTGATCCACCCTGAGCTTGCTGTGCTTTGCGTGACTGGTCTTGTGACCCCTTGTTCTCCCCCACTTTGCCTATGGGGGTGTGTCAGAACATATATATAGCTTATGCTGTTGTGTAGGCTATAGTGGGGTATCCCATAGGGGGTACAACCCAATTAGGGTTTCCTATATGTACTCACTTCATTCATAGTTCATTCATTTCGCTTTCTCCTTTTCACATCCTGCTGTTCAGTCAGGAGGGCGGCGCATAGCGCGGCTTCAGATATAATTCCTCGTTGTCGGAGTAGCGCTTTACAGGGCTTCCACTCTGGCCCGAGTCCTTGGAGGACGATGTTGACGAAGATCTCCTCCGAAATGGCGCTTCCATGCTTCGTGATTTGGTCACGAACGTTCCGACAGCGGTTAATATATGAATTTGCTTTCTCCCCGTGCCCCATCTTGGTCTCCATGAGTTGCTGCAGGAGCCTGCTGGCGGTGACCGAATCCTTCAGTTGATACACCTCAACGAGATGCTTCCAGGCTTCCAAAGCTGGAGCGGCGCTCTCTTTGTAGGAGCGAATGCTGAGTTGTTCCGCATGCGTCATGTTGCGTAGCAGCACACTGTACGCCATGAGGGACTCGCTGTAGTACTGAGTCCTGGCGACTTCGGTGTCTTCCACCGGTTTTGCGTAGGAGCCGTCGAAGTGATGGTAGATTTGCGCTGTTTGTAGGAGGACCTCAAGCTCGAAACTCCAAGTGTAAAAGTCCTTGCCGTCAAACACGACAGTAGTCTTAATTTTCGAAACGCTGAGGAAGCGTGCTTGCGCAGTGTTAATAACTTCATCACTTGGACGGGGGGCAGTTGTTGTTGATTTGTCTGTGTCGAGGGAGAAGGTGTGCGCGGCGGTATCACGGCTTTTCGCAGCCGGTTGTCCAGGTTGAGCTGGTTGGGAAGAGATTCCCGCATCGCCTTTGCGCAATTCTTGGAGGTCTTTCTCCATAGTTGATAGTCGCGAAAATAACTGCTCGAGTGCGGCAGTGCTGATCGTGGTTGTCGCCTCATTTGTCGCAGCCGGGTTGGTTTGTCCTTCGGCCGTCAGATTCGTCTGGCCTCTGGATCCTCCAGCCATCTTGGTCTTGGAGCGTGTGCCGCTCGCCAGATCTTGATTCGGCGAATTTCACGGAAGTGAAGTTGCGAAGAATCCCTGAGTAGCTCTCATACCATGTTACAATCCTAAGTAGGACTTAGCGAAGGATCGCCCAGGGTTGATCGCAGGGTAATGTTGCAGCGGAAGTGTTGACCTCGGGTCAGAGTGAATGTAAATGACTGAGATGATAATAGCATGCATACATCGGGTTTATATAGGAAATACAAAGGAATACGAAACGACCTAGACTAGCCATGTACTCTAAGGGGTACATTCCCTTATTACAGCGAAGTTCAAACCGTGCGGCGCGGGAACCCGTTTCAAACCTGTTCCCGCTCTTTTCACTTCGAATGTTTCTGCCTGCATCGGTCTTGATCAGACGGTTACCAGTGTCGCTTCGACTCTTCTGACTCCTCGGCTTCGTACACTTTAGAGTCGGCTCTTGCAGCATACAGGAATGCCTTCTCATAAAGTTTCATATCGTAACAGTAGCGCATGCGCGCTTATAATAAAACATTATTTTTAAGGGGGTGCGCTTCTAATTGAGTAACAAATATAAGCGCATGTGCTTATATAATGACATATACATATTTATAAAATTATTGCACCAAAATGTGCATCTCATTCTTGTGGTTCCAATCGAGTCGAAAATTCATAGGGTCAGGAATCAGAATCGCGCGCAAGCGATTCTCTGCCAACACACAGGGGCATCGACACGTCATTTTGTCGTGCTAGCACATCGTGACTGGACGCGCAGTTGTGAGTTCTTCGAGAGTCAAACGGAGGTAAAAGCAAGGTGGGCTCGCTTCGAAACTGAAACTCGTTACTCTTTTTAGCAGGTCTTAAAATAAAACTTATGCATGCGCTTATAATAAATCAAGGTTTTACAGGGGGTGCGCTTATAATTGAGGAACGGCCATAAGCGCAATGCTCCAGATAGAAGCGCATGCGCTTTTAATAGGCCTGCGCTTCTATCCGGGGCCATACGGTACCATGATCCTCCTACTGCATGAAAGCTGCCATGAATAGGTTTTGTCTATGCGCGAGTAATCCCCTTTTGAATGGCTCTCGCTAGGCAGCATGATCCAACCACAAAGTCCATAGTACTCGAAGGAACAGGTGAAAACTATGTACGGCCTGGGGTCGCCATGGATATACATGGTAATTCTTAGGCATAATGTTACCATCCCCTTCGTGCCGCATGCCTGGTGGACATGAATTTTGAAGTGACTACGGCGGTTGACAAGTAAAGTTGCGTGGTTGCAAGGGTTGATAGTTCATCTCTAGGCGACATCATCGTTTTGTGTGCGCGGAGCGCCACTTCGCCACCAGCTGTGGGATCGTTTGCCATGTCAGTAGATCTGCACTGTGGATGCCCGATTGATCCTAGGGGGGTTACAGGCGCGTTTGCCTGGGGGGTTATGGGCGCACTCTGACCCGCTACTTAACAAGCCCTTTTATCCCAATGGTCTAGTGGTTGGGATTCTGACATGGTATCAGAGCGGTCTCGGGTTCGAATCCCGGTGTATGCACATGTTGGCCGTTGCCACTGTGCTCAGTCCTGGGCCTCCCAGTGTGGGGGGGTGTCAGTAGAGCTACACTGTGAGATCCCCGATCGATCCTAGGGGGGGTTACAGGCGCGTTTGCCTGGGGGGTTATGGGCGCACTGACCCGCTACTGAAACAAGCCCTTCTATCCCAATGGTCTAGTGACTGGGATTCTGACACGTTGTCAGAGAGGTCTCGGGTTTGAATCCCGGTGTATGCACATGTAGGCCGTTGCCGCTGTGCTCAGTCCTGGGCCTCCCAGTGTGGGGGGGTGTCAGTAGATCTGCACTGTGGATGCCCGATTGATCCTAGGGGGGTTACAGGCGCGTTTGCCTGGGGGGTTATGGGCGCACTCTGACCCGCTACTTAACAAGCCCTTTTATCCCAATGGTCTAGTGGTTGGGATTCTGACATGCCACTTGATCATGTAATGGAGGATATTAGCGCACCCGACAGTTGCATAAATTTGCCACAAGCGTGAGTCCTGTCGGTGAGCTATATTCCTGTAACTATTATGACAATCATGGATAGAGTGAGGGGACACTTAGATAGTGGGGATTGGATCGCATATTTGAGATCCACAAAAACTTCGGTGGTGCCTTGCTCCTGCCAAACAGAGAGACAAAACGACGCGTTCAGCAGGATTCGAACCTGCGCGAGCAGGGCCCAACAGATTTCGAGTCTGTCCCGTTAACCACTCCGGCATGAACGCTTGAATGTGGTGTTCCTTTTGTTAGATACAGACAAAGTTGTAATAAGCGAGATTTTATGCAGGTTCAGCACTCGAATCTGTTATTTTCGAGTACACTCTTTCAGGCGACGTGGATTTTCGGGAATGTTCCCAGTACTCTCCCAGTACTATCGAGAAGATTCCCGACACTACTATATCGAGACTATTCCCCACACTGCTAGACTTTCTCCCACTCCCACAGCTTTCTGAGGTTCGCCTTGTTCATGCCTCATTTCACGCTACTACGAAAGCTGAATCCTACTTATTCGAGCAATGCTGTCAGATACCCAACAGAGCAATTGTATCTTGATATTGGCTCCTCGTTCTTCCCCTTCCTTGCCCGAGATCCCCCTCCCTGTTTAGAGGTCGCTTGCACGACTTCCTTCGATTTGACGTCCCGTGCTTCTCAGAGCACCCACTAGCGCGCTCGCGCTCGCGCTCCTGCGGATTCCCTCGTCACGCGCGCTTCCCTTTCCGAGTCGCGGCTTCTCTGTCTGCGATCGAGACTCGCTACGCCCGTCACACTCGAATCGCGTTCGAGGCGTCTCGGATCGAATCGTTCTCGTCGAGTTAGAAGCGGCGCGCATTTTGGCAAATTCAAGAGCGTCGCTATCTTTGTGGGAAGCATTCGGCCAGAGTTTCTTCAGGATGTCTAATCTGGGGCCGGGCGGCAATCTCGAGGGCATTCTCAAGTGGAGCCTCGCTCATTCCGATGGCACGGGGCCCGCCCGGCAGATAACGTGAGTGCGGTTCAAGTTGAAACCACTTGAATCAAGTGAGGATGAAGGAGATCAGCATGGTCATGCGGGGTCATGCGGGGTCATGCGGGGTCATGGGGGTCATGGGGGGCATGGGGGTCATGCGGGCCATGGGGGGCATGGGGGGCATGGGGGGCATGGGGGGCATGGGGATCATCATGGGGATCATGGGGGGGTCATGCGGGGGCATGGGGGGTTCATGGGGTTCATGCGGTGTATGGGGGCCATGCGGGTCATGGGGCTGTTGGGCCTTTCATTCATGCTGTCTGTTTGCTCGTTTCCTTTGTCCGTCCTTCTTCCCGTCCGTTCATGGGTGGTTCTCATTTTCTCCGTTTCCTCGTTTCCCGTCCATTTCCTCGTTTCCTTCTCGTTTCCCTTGTCCGTCCTCCCTTCCTTCCTCCTATCCCCTCTTTCCCCCACCCTTGCAGGGACGAGGAGCGGCAGTGGTTCAACCAGGCCATGCAGGCGGCGGTGGTGGACGTGGTGCAGGCAGCGGATGAAGGAGATCAGCATGCTCGTGGGGGTCACAGAGGAGGGACTTATTCGCTCTTTCCCTTGCTCTCTCTTGCCTTCGCATGCAGCGATGAAGAGAGGCAGTGGTTCAACCAGGCCATGCAAGCAGCGGTGGTGGATGTCGTTCAGAGGATGAAGGAGATCAGCATGCTCATGGGGGTCACGGAGGAGGGGCTGTTAGCGCAGGGCGTGACAGTGGATGAAATAGCAGGCATGCTGGAGGAGCTGCAGGAGCATGTCGAATCGATCGATATGGCCAACGGTTAGTGTTTATTTGGTATCTGTTAGAATGTGGAGGTGAAGGGTGAATTTGTGATCTGAGTGCTGTTGTAGTGTCCGAGGTGGGGCTGCTGGCGCAGGGCGTGACGGTGGACGAAATGGAAGGCATGCTGGAGGAGCTTTAGGAACATGTTGAATCCATCAGCATGACCAATGGTAAGGATTTGTTTACAAATAACAAGAGAGACAAAAAAGTAGACTTTTTTCTGAGGTGAGGAATGTTCACCTTCCCTGACAAATGGTCACCTCTACCCCTTTTTTTTCTTCTGCTTCTTTTTTAACCCACCACCTCCCGTCCTCAACTCGCCCCACGCAATCCTCCGAGCACGGGCGGCAGAGGTGGTAACCACCATGGTGCAAAACAATGAGAGGAGCCAGCGCAGCGTGATGGAGGGGGGCGGCCGTCTGACCCTCATGCTGGCCCTGTTTCTTTTTCTTCTCAGTTCTTTACCTCTGAGTGTCCTCCTCTCCCCTTCCCCTTCCACCAGACCTGAAGGCCATAGGGGGCTTGGAGCCGCTGCTGCGCTTCCTCAAGTCCCCTCATGCAATCCTGCGAGTGCAGGCAGCAGACCTCTTGAGTGTCTTTCTCCCTCCTTCCCTCCCTCCCGCCAGACCTGAAGGCCATAGGGGGCTTGGAGCCGCTGCTGCGCTTCCTCAAGTCTCCCCACGCAATCCTCCGAGCGCGGGCGGCGGAGGTGGTAACCACAATGGTGCAAAACAACGAAAAGAGCCAACACAGCGTGATGGAGGCGGGCGGCCATCTGACCCTCATGGATATGATTCTGAACGATGCTGACGTCACTGCCAGGACCAAGGCTGTCGGGGCTATCTCATGTGAGCAGCAGGGTGTGTGGTAAGGGTTGGGGGTTATTGCGGAGGGGGGGGGGATGGAGTGAGATTGAGCAAGTGATGTGAGCCCGCTGCCTTTGGTTCCCCCCCCATTTCCTTTCAGAACCCCATATTCCTCCATGCCTCCCGGTTTGCCCTCACACCCGTTTCTCCCCGTTTCCCCCTCCACTCGCCGCCCCACCCACCCGTATCCTCCCCTCGCCCACAAGCCTTAGTGCACCATAAACCCAGAAGGCCTGGCGTAGCATAAACCAAGGACTGACCTCCCTGATCTCCTCTGCCGCCCCCTCCCTTCCCACTCTCCCACCTTTCTCCTCTTCTCCTCCCGCTCCCCCACCAGCGTTGGTGCGCCATAATCCAGAAGGCCTGGCGTCCCTTCAAGCCGTCGTCGGCATTAACGGACTTACCTCCCTCATCTCCCCCACTCACTCTCCCTCATTCCCTTCCCCACCTCCCTCCTCCCCTCCCACACCAGCCTTGGTGCGCCATAACGAAGAAGGCCTGGCGTCCCTTCGAGCCGTCGTCGGCATCAAAGGACTCACCTCTCTAATCACCTCCGCCGCCCAACCCACCAACACCACCACCACCACCACCACCACCGACAGCACCAGCAGCGCTACCACCAAGCTCCTACTTAAAGCGCTGCATCTCACGCTCTATTTCCTGCAGCAGTGCCCCTCTGACCGCCCCCTGGCTCTCTCCTCAGGGCTTCTCACCTCGCTGCTACAGCCGGGGATTGTAGGGTCCCAGGATGGGGATGTGAGGCTGGCTGTGCTGCGTCTGCTGCAGGACTTGGCTTGTGACATGACTGTTGATACTGCCGCTGCTAGTGGTGATGCTGCTGCTCCTGCCGCTGCTGCTCCCAGTGCTACTGATGATGAAGGGGGAAGTAGTCGCAAGGGGGATGAAGTTTGTGAAACTGAGGCGGTTATTGGGGCCCGAATCGAGGCTATATCTGCCTTGCAGAAGCGCCAAAGCTCAGGTGAAAATTCAGGTGGTTCAGGCGGGGTATCAGAGCCGGATTCTGGGGATCTACAGGAGGAGCAGGATGCCTTGCTGGCGACGAGACGCGCTCTAATTGGCCGAAGGGTGGCTGTCGCCAGGGGGGAGAGCAGAGGGGGTGGCAGTGGGGGAGCTGCAGGAGGCTTAGGTGGGGCGGAAGCAGGAGCAGCAGGAGGAGCAGCAGTAACAGGAGAGGGTTCTCAACAGCCGTTGATGTTTCTGGGAGCACCATGAGGTGGGAGGAACAGGAACAGGAGGAGCGGGAGAGAGAGCAGGAGGATCAGGAGCAGCAGTAACAGGATAGGGTTCTCAACATCCGTTGATGTTTGTGGGAGCACCATGAGCAGGGGGGGGGGGGAGAAGAGGGGAGAGGTGAGGCGGAAGTGGAGAGGGGGAAGGCGGCTGCTGCCAGGGGGGAGAGCGGAGGGGGGGGCAGAGGGGAAGCAACAGGAGCTGGAAGTGGAGCAGAGCAAGGGGGAAGAGCAGGAACAGGAGGAGCAGCAGTAACGAGAGTGGGGTCTCAACAGCTGTTGATGTTTCCGGGAGCACCATGAGCAGGGGGGTGGGAGAAGAGGGAAGAGGTGAGGCGAAAGTGGAGAGAGGGGAAGGCGGCTGCTGCCAGGGGGGAGAGCGGAGGGGGGGGCAGAGGGGAAGCAACAGGAGCTGGAAGTGGGGCGGAGCAAGGGGGAAGAGCAGGAGCATACAGAGGATTTTGGGGGAGGGTAGCAGTAGCCTTTTTTGTTTTGGTTGTTGGCCCCAAATCTGTTTCTTGGGCGCAAGCATCATTGAACCGTGGAAGACTTGTTTTTTTATAGTTATCAACAACGATGCAGTAACTTCAATTGATGGCATTATAGCATAATGAGCTACTAGCTGCACCTTTACAATTAATATAACCATTTTGATCATGGAGACGAGCTCCTTCTCATAACAAAAATGAATAAAATAATTATTTGCTGGAGCTGGGCATATCTGCAGCATTGAGTGCTCGAGCTCCTGCTGCCATAGCCTCCTTAAGCTGCGGCCAATCAGCAGTAAGGAAGCTCAGAAGTGACCCGGAGCCTTCCTCATCAGCCAAACCCTCCTGCATCTGCTCCTGCTGCTGCAGCTGCTGCTGCTGTAACAACTGCAGCTGCCGCAACTGCTGGAGCTGCTGCAGCTGAAGCAGCGGCTGCTGAAACTGACCATTTAGCAAGCATTCCAGATCAGACCCCTTAGCAGCTTCCTCTGCACCAACAGTTGCAGGTATCAAAGCATCTGCTGCACTGAAACCTGAATTGAAACTCCCGTTGTAACCTGAAGTGAAACCAGCATTGGAACCGGCCTGAATATCCCCTGCAAGAATCTGCGCCAGGGCTTCAACTGAAGCATGGCGCACAGCTGGATCCATCATTTCCTGATCAATCTCCCCTCCGAGCTCCCCCAACATTCCTGATGCAGTAACACCGCCAACACCAGAATCAGCAACCCCGGCTGTAGCAGCTGTAGCAGCAGCGGCTGCAGAAGCGGCGGAGTTGGAGAGAGGATCTACTGGCTGTAGCGGCTGAAAGGGGTGCAGAGGCATGTGAGCCGCAAGATTGTCGAGCACTGAGAGATCGATGGTCAGATTTCGCTGCCCCAGCAGGGACATGCCCTGGGCCGTCCGATCGGCTCGTGTCACCATCCCATCGGCTCCCACCGTTCCTAATCCTTCTGCTCCTGCTTTTGCACCTCCTGCTCCTCCTGTTGCTGGCCCTGCTCCATTTAACGGCTTGTGCTGCTGGTGAGAATTGGAGAGGAGACTCTCCCGTATGCTCTCTTTTAGGGTTTCCCGGAGGAGCGGAGATGCCGCAGAAGGTGATTGGAGATTGGACGGGAACACACCGAGAGCACTGCTGCTCGTGCCCAGCCCCGTGCTGTTCAGCCCAGCGAAACTACCAAGCCCCGGAAAGTTTCTTGCAGGAGCAGCAGCAGCAGCGGCAGCGGCAGTAGCAGCGGCGGCAGTGGTAGCAGCAGAGGCAGCAGCAGCAGAGGCAGAAGCAGCAGAGGCGGAGGCCGGAGCGCCTGCTAGGGCAGTAGAATCGCCTGTCAGGAAACGCGGCATGAGGGGGGAGGCGGAGTGTGGTGAGGGGAAAGGCTGAGCGTTCCCCGCAGGGGAAAACGGCGGATTCGAGCTTCCCCCAGCGAAACTTCCCCCACCAAAGGGCGGAGCGAATCCCGCTGCAGCAGCGGCAGCCATAGCAGCAGCGAGGGAGGAGGGGGAATCCCCTCCACCCATGGAGCTCCGCACACTGGAGGGGAAGCGCATGACGCCATGGGGGGAGGGGGAACCGCGGTAACCCGAATTCCCCGCCGTACCTCCGCCAAGGGGGGAGAAAGAGCCCGCGGAAAGGTAGTTCTCGCCGCTCCCGCCATAGAAGCCTCCCCCGAATGCGCCTCCCCCGAATGCGCCTCCCCCAAGCGCCCCTCCCCCGAGTGCGCCTCCCCCGAGTGCCCCGGCTCCTCCGCTTGACGTTCGCCCAAGCAGGGAGTTTCCGAGAAGCGACCCCCCAAAATTCCCCAGGTTGGCGGCGGCGCTGCTGTATCCGCTTCCGCCCAACCCTGCGGTTCCCCTCAACCCGCCGCCAGACATTCCGCCGAGCTCCGCGCATGCTATGTCCCCCCCGCCAAAGCGCAGCCGCTTCGTGGCCTGAAGATACTCCAGGTCATATTCCCCCACCGCCGGCGCTCCGCCGCCCCATCCGCCGCCGAACGTTCCCCCGCATGCCCCCATGGCGGAAGGAACGAGTGGAGTGGGGTCCCGCAGCGATGGGCGAAGAACGGGAGAGTCGAGACTTCCGCTGCGCGGAAACGCTAGGCGCGCGGCTGAAACAGCGGAGGCGGAAGGAGGGGCGATGCCCGCTGCGGGCGGAGGAGATGCGCACGCGGAACTGGCTCCGCCGCCGCTGGATGCGGTGGCGAGGCGGCGGAGGACGTCCGCGAGCATGCGCACGTTTTCCGCCTTGGCGGAGCTTGCGGAGCAGCCGTCCATGCTGCTCCGCCGCGAGTGCGCCGCGCTTCCGCAGCCCGCGCTACCCGACGAAAGCGGAGACGGACTCTCACGGTGTGAGAAAAAGTTCGCGCCGCCTCCCACGCCGCCGCCGCCTCCGGGAGCGTACATTGGAGCGTAGAGTGGGACACCGGCGTAGTAGGGGGAAGGGGAAACACGGCCGTCGCTTCCGGGAGAGCTGACTGGGGCATCGCGAGGAGAGTCGATCACGCGTGCGGACTGGTGGAAGGAACGGGGAAACCATGGCGGGACGACAGGGCGCAGGGGGGAATGGCGGGGAGAAAATGGCAGTTGAGACACTGAGCACTGGGTGAAAAAGAACTTCGAACAGGGTAACCAGGTGTGAGCCGTACAACAATTTCTCGCAACACATTTCTCCAACGCGAATCCAACTCGCAACCAATCAGACGAGGAGAGTCCCATCGAAGAGCAATACACTTGAACACACAACATACTGTGCATTTTCCTCCGAAAAAGAAACCCTAAATTTGGGTGAGAAGCTTACCCTATTTTTTATGATTTCCGCGAGAATGGCGGGGTATTTCCGCTTCAACGTGGAGTTCCAGTGGTTCTTAATCGCGTTGTCCGTGCGACCGCGCAGGCTCTTCGCGATAACGGACCATTTGTTGCCGTGCTCGGCGTGTCCCAAGGCGATTATTCTGTCTTCTTCGTCCGTGAAGGGGTTTTTATTGACCTGAAGCACGAAAAAACCAGCAGGGTTTCACGTTAGACCTCAGTGGGTTGCGCCGCGAGGATCTCGGTGACGGGGCAGACGAAGGGTCACGAGCGCGATATGATGGTATTGCTGATTGAGGAATTCGTATGCGAGCACGAAAGGGAACAAAATATGAGGAATACGCGACGCCGCGTCGGTGATATGGGAGTCGAGGCGCGATACGCACTTCGGGATTCAGTTGATTGCACCACCGCAGTCGACAACTCTTTCCGGACCGCCCTTTGAGCCCCTGGGCGATGAGCGACCAATTGCGCGGCCCGTACTTGGCGATGATCTCCATGAGCAGCTCGTCCTCCTCGGGACTCCATGGCCCCTTCACGACGTCCGCGTCCTTCTCGCCACTCTCTTCTTTGTGCTCTTCTTGTAACTCTTGTTGATGTTGCTGTTGCTCAGCTTCCGCCATCGTCGCGATTTTGACGTTACCAAAATTTGATACGATAAAATAACCAGATGGTAAGACTCGCGCCACGCCACCCCGCTATAACTGTCAGGGTTTGTATCGCGCTTCTCAGCTTTTCTAACCTCACTTTGTTGCTAGCAATCAAGTGGTGCTTTACGGAATGGCCCAATATCCTATCTGAAAACGGTATGGGACAGTGGAAGTGATGTTGGGTGGGGAAGTATGCTTGCTGCTGCTATCTACTGACCGACACTATCGGAACTGATCGAGAGTTTGCTGCCCGCGGCCATTTACTCCGTGTGGCCTCTGTTCCTGCTCGCTCCTCTCGCCAGTGGCTCAAATCGTTGCCTAGCACTGCAGGGATCGTTCTCTCAGTTCTGGTTGCCTTTCCTCGTGAAATCGCGATCGCTCACTGCGGTGGTGTTGCACTGCATCTGCGGGATGAACAATGACAATCCAGTGCCAATGTCGGTAAATTTTGTGCTTTGTCAAAATCTCTTCAAAATCGCTCCCCCGACTCAAAACCCAGCCTAGACCCGAGGTTTGGCACCCAAGCCTCTCAAAGCTCACGCTTTGGGCACCTGCGTGCCTCGGCAACACGGTTTGGTGCAACACTGGCTGGTGGTAACCTTGGACCGATCTGGCTTGCCAGCTTGCGAATGAGGGACGGAGGGTTGGTGGATCAAGGGTGACGGTGGGTGGGGTGCCCTGTGCGGTGGTGGTGAATTCTGGCGCTTTCAGCTGTGCAAGCTGGCGGCATTGCACGCGTGCATGCACTGTAGAATGTTCTAACTGTGACGGCGATTGCGAGTGAGCTGTGCCCCATGACGTGGCGATTGAGATTCACTCGGGCATTTCAGGATTCACTCGGGCTCTCTGCTTCCACACCCGTTCTTTCTTTATTCGGTGTGACCCGTATTCGATCGACTCGCGATATATGCCTTTGAGCTAGAGGGGATAGTTTACAAAGACCGATGGCCGGAAGTACTTGAATTTGTGTCAAATTCAGGATTTGTGTACAGAACTTTTAGAACAACTCCTGAATTTACTTACAAGTCATGGGGAAACACGAGCCAAATGTTCCCAAGCGGGAGGACGACGAGGAGAAGGGTTGCTGTGAGGATGGTCATCGTGGACCACCTGGATCCCCTCCCCTACCCTATCCAAGCGGAACGATAGCTGTCACAGAAGCAATCCACACAAGCTCCAGACTGAACAAGAGGACCCCAAGCTCTGTTGACAGAGTCGAAACTATCGAAACTACCCGTGCAAAATGTTTTATGGCTGGCTGAATGTAGAACACGCGCCATTTCTAAAACAATTCGACCCATCGTCATCATGTCTCGCATTTTTTTTACGAAATCGTTGTATATCCAGAAGGTCCAGGAAATAATTTATTATAAACGACCCCTAGCTTTGGAGAGTCTTTAGGAGGTCAGTCGGACAGGTTGATGCAATGGATGGATTAGAGCGGGGTACACCTGGCGTATTTTTAAGGATCACTTAGCTGAGATCACCGTCACCCCAATCGTAGGATCATTGGTAGCAAAACAACAAATTTTGTGGGCACATTACGATCCTCGTTGATGTACCAATTCCAATTTTGCATTGGTGATCCTCTGCGACCAGGCGACATCGCAACGAGTCACGAACATTGATACTTCGCGTGCATATGTTGGCCGTGTAATATACTGAGACGAAACAACCTCATTGGTGAGATTTTCATTTTCGAAATGTTTTGATTTGATGCGACCTCGTTTCAGATGTACGACCTGATTGCGAAAGGAAAGTTTTTCGTCAACAAGGATCACCCTGACTTTGGTACAGAGTTGCAAAGATCACCAAGAGATTGGCAGTCACGATGATCCTACGGACATCACAAAGATTGTGTAGCATTGACTACACATGTTCCCGATCCCACCTCTGTTGGTATACCACCTGACACAGTGATCACTGTACTGTAGTAGGTGGGACACTGTTCTGCAAGGATCGCCGACGTGATCCTCAAAATGCAGCGATCTTTGCTTGGGTGTACCGCGTTCTTAGGCCATCATCGCTACTCAATAATCAGGCCGTACAGACGAAATTAGTGACAGCTGGCAAAGCTGTCAAGACCTTTCTGTGAACTGGATGATCACGAACGTTGACATCGAGGTCGGAGCTGCTCGAGACAGCATTCTACTTCTGATCATGAACCTTGTCATTCTAGAACTTCACCTGGATCCAAAGCACCACACATAATAAATGCACAAACATCTTCTAGGTGCACTGGAATTTGAAAGAGTGTACATGCCGCCGTATTTCTCCGAAATCTTCCAATTCCACATTTCCAAATCACCTCGTAAACTATACACTCGTTTTGCTATAATTTTCAAAATACTTAAGGTCCCAATTTGATGTTCAATCTGTCTGATTTCAATCTATTGATGCAAATCTCTTGAGTCATTCTCATTCAACATGGGGGTAAAAATATGTTATACATCTAATGAGAGTGTTCGAATTAGCTGGGAAATTTGTGAACCATTTTGAGGCGAATTTTCAATAAATAAACATCATGACATTAATATTTCCATCACCAAAGTAAACGCTACGCATGTGCTCGTATAGTACCATTGCACCATCTAATATCATAACAGATACTATATCATCGGTAAACAAAACCAAAAACAAAAACACAAACATTATTGGTCAGATCTAGTTGCTTGAATGGAAATAAATCGACATAATTGAACATATGATTAATGGGTCAGTATTGTTGCTCTTCCAATCATGAACTGGAGCATAAATTCGGGCTTGATAAAGAAGATGATATTTGGAAAGGGCGGCATAAGGTCCGGAATTCTAAAATCCTCGCGCATAGCGGTTACCCTACACCAAATATGGCTGAAGTTGTTCGGAGCAATGTCCAGGGAGGAAAAGTTTCAACAGAAGAAGTAGGTTCGTGGTTTCCAAGACTCGTCCGCATCTACACTAACAAGGAGCATCGAATTGCGAGCTCAACCAACGGACACCAGTTGGAGACACAAGACACTTGACGAGAGAACTGTGTTGAACCGCATCTACAGCAATAAAATCCACATGTTATGGAAGGGCAGTTTAGCTCTGTTTCGGATAACATGAAGACAACTTTCAAGCCACGATGGACCTGGCACGTGGGAGGATAGGGATGGTGAAACGCTACACCTATCAGTTACGACTGTCGATGCATGCCCTCATGGTGTAATTAATTTAAAAGGAAAAGTCAGGGTGTTAACACGGGTATCAAATGCAAGACAAGCCTGACGATATCAATATAACATGAACAGATCTAAAAATAAATGCTGTACCGACAACCCATCCCCAGCTGTTTTTGCTCCAATCGCCGTTTTACCTGTTGGACATCAAGTTCAGGATTAGGGCTTGACGCGATTAGTAGTTCGCTGGACATAAAGCTAGAACATCTGTATTTGGGATGGCCGTGCGTTCCCAATTTTTGAAGACCGGCTTAAAATAATATAACTTACCCAGACTGGTGTGTCACGTGACGTGCAACTCGAACTTGTCGTTTCTGCGTCATCATGAAGTGCCGTGGTTCGAACCTGTGCCATGTGTGAGTGAACTCCTGAAGTTTGATCATGACGCGTGCTTGAAAGGATTTGCCTCTACAGTGAAAACAAAATCACGTGCGTTCACGTGCAGCTTCCAGATTTTCACTGGTCGACAGCTGGCTGCAGCTTGAAAAGCGTGACGTAAGGACGAACCTCAGATTTAGTGACTGGATATGCTTTCGCCAAAGAGAGCACTCATACAAGTGTTCTCGTTTATAGTCCGACGGAATGACACACCGCGCGCGGACTATGTGGCAAAACTTACAAACCCCGGGCAAAACGGGAAAACTTATAGTCACGTTTCAGGAAAATTGCATGCAGAGCGGTTTCTTTGCTACTAGTTTGGTTTTCCTGTCACTTACGCACATTCGGACCGCGCTTGCTTCAACTTCTCGTCGCACGGTTCCCCGTGTTGATCAATGTCGCATGACTAACGGGCAAACAAAAACAAAATCAATTATTGTTTGAGGCCTGAATAGTAGGTAATAACTTTTGTTTTACCCTGTCAGCGAGATAAATGAGATGTCATCGTCGAGCTCGCTGGGGACCGCTCGACAGGATTGAGAGGTAAGCACGGTCAAGAGAAACAAACAATAACAATTGCAAAGGTAAATAAAGAATCAAAGAACTCTTCACTATCATTTTCCCTGAATGTTGGGCTGGTTCGATCTGGGTCCTCTGATTGGCTGCGGAGCTGATTCGTGCAATGATTCAATCAAGCTGCAAAATTTCCCGCCAAAAAAGGGACTGTAGAGGAGGGGCTACACCTATGCGATATCGGAAAATTATATTCAGGGGGGAAAATGGTTTTTTTAAGCGAGGGCCTCTAACCCGGAACACCTGTAGGCTCATCCTATCAAACCAGCTGACGCACATTTTCCGCCTGAGAAGGGAGAGAGAGAGAGAGAGAAACGACTCGGAAACCTCGCAACGCCAAACTTGATTCCTAAGGCCCTGTTCTGTTGGCGCATTAGGGGTGCTTAGCCCTAACGATGAATGTTCAAAGAACCCGCATGACAAGGCTTAAAGCCCACGTCGAGCCTCCCAACTCGTTATTGTGTCCCGAACCTGGCAGCATTTGCTGTGCGCCCATCTGTAACAAAACGGAGAACAACTCGTGTGCACAGAGGTTACTCCGAAGCCTCTCTCCGGGCAAAACCATCACACAGCTCGTGCGAACCCTATCCGCCCATCTCCTGGGAATAAGGGGACGCACAAACAATAACGGGCAGATATCAACGCCCGTTATCAATATATACGTCTATGGATTTACTCCACCCAAGATTGCACAAGACGAGAGGCGAGGGTGAACCATACGGCCGAAAGTTTGTGAGTGGTTGAGATGAAAAATGTTGAGCATCTTGGGTAGCCTGGGCAAGTGGGTTAAAAAAATATATGTTTTGCTTTGTCTGTAGC